TTTATCACCATAAAAACATTCTTGACAAACACACATTTTTTGTTTTGCACAATGTGGATCGTCTTGAAAACATTGTCCATCATGTTGGCAGTCATTTCGGCCTTTGCAGTCGTAAGTCATAGTAAAATTAAAATGAAAACAATTCGCTTGTCTTTGTTCTGTACATAAACACATAAATGTATAATTATCATGAAAACAAGTAAGATCAGAATGATTTTGACATATATCGTGATAGTATTTTACACGACGAAGAGGTGAATATCCTAATTTGTCTTTATCCAATACTTCTTGTATGTACCGACAACGTTGTGATTGAGAGATTTGTGTAGAAAAAACAACTGAAGATCTATGCTCATGCTGAAGAATAATAAAATAATACATATGATCAAATTCAACGAAAACAAGATGAAAGGATTGTGGCATATTAAAAGATATTGTTTTTTGATTGAATAGAATTTTCTTGAACATAGTTATTCGAGCAGGATCTAAGGTTTTGCTTCGATCATTACTTGATAGAACGTTGATAAAGTGAACAAATAGAGATTGTGGAGCTTCAACATTAGAAAATGAGATATCTATTCGTACATCTGTCTTTTCACAAAATTCGCCAGAGAATCCATCTGGACAAACACATGTAAAGTTAATTGAAGATTGTCGATAATCATGTGGTACACAAATACCGTTGTTTATACATGTGTTATTCATTTGACAGAGTGAATTAAGATAACATCGAGGTCCTGTTTTGTTTAAAGAGCATAGACAAATCGATCGATTTCCTTTAAAACCAATACACATCGAGTCTGATGAACAATCACACTTGTGTTGTATCGTAGAAAATGAATTTACCCAATTTAAGCATCGGCAAGATTGCATATTATCATTTGTTAATGATTTTAGATATTTGTCACTGCATAACAAGTAACAATCTTGCTGTGCTGGGATTATCAATTGAAGGCTCATACGATTAACAGGCATAAAAAGAAATTGGACTGGAAATATCCAACTCGTATGATAAGCAAGTTTTACTTTATCATATGCATCAATATAGATTGTATAATTCTTTGTCATATCTTTCGGACGATTTTGATAAAGTAAATGCATATTATATTTCCAATTACAACTAATTATGGATTTATATGTCATTTGTTCATAAGAATGAACAAAACCAGTATAATCAACAAGTCTAATAATAATACCAATTACATTTATATTTTTTAAATTTTCTTGACGTAATCGAATAGTGAGACTAACACGCTGATTTTGATATTGGCAAAGATCACCATAATAAGTTTCTGGGCAAAGACATTGTTCTGTCTCATTTTTACCGACGAGAATTACAAATCCTTTATTGCATAACCATAATCTTGAATCATTATTCTGCTTAACTGTAGACATTTTCTCAGTTTTTATCATATCATTTTGTATCTGCTTATGAACTGGTAGTGGAGATTGAGCTGGAGGAAAACTAAGTGATGATTTATGACAGAATGGTTGTTTTCTAGTCTTACCAAAACTGTCTATATTATCTAAATAATTCTTAATGTCTCGATATTTGTCAGTAGTTTTATCACATATTTGATCAAATTCGTTGGATTTATCGCAACGATCACAGGCATCGGTAATTGAAGTACATGTTGTATCATTCCAACAGCGATAACGCTTCAAAAATTCTATTGGATGTTGTAATCTACAATAAGATCGTTCATCTGTTGATCCAAGACAATCAATATTACCATCTTCAATACGATTTATATGCAAACAATCCATTTTGCGACTCTTTGGAGACAAACAAGGATGATGATTTGCAGGACATTGAAAACTTGATGAACAATTGATTTCGTCATCTCCTTTTGGACAATTCCATTGCCCATTACAAAGTGTATATTGATTTATACAAGGCCATTCTTCACAATCATTTTCATCAGTTTCATTTTCTATAGGAACTATCTCAACCACTCCATTACAAAAAGAAGAGAAAAGGAGGTGATGAATTGTAGCTACCACATCACTAGCCGTAGTCTCATCTATTCCATTAATACAGTCCTTCCATCCATCATTCACAAGTGCAGGTGAGAGACATTTCTGTTCATCTGGACATTGGAAACGATGTTTATCATTCAATGCACAGGAATTAGCTGCAATTGACTCATCAAAAGCATTATAACAATCCGGAAATCCATCCATAATTCGATGCTTAGGTATACATTTATTTGTTCCTAAGCAACGTACTGCAGTTGGATTGAAACAAGTGATATCATTAGTATTTTGAAAGAGTTGAATACATCCCCTAAATGTTTTATATATGTTGTCCATTAATGTTAAATTCAATTGCTCAGTATGTAAACATGTATAATTATCGAATGTGAATGTTGGAATGAGAAATGGACAAAGATCTTTGTTGTAACATACAAAGTCAGGTTCATATCCGAAATATTTGATAGATGTTGAATTAGAAAAATAGCCGAATCTCACATGACCATCCCAAATTGGAAATGTTGGTGCAATGAATGCAGATGGACAATTTTTAACAGTATGTATTTGACATTCTTCTTGGTTATTGCAGAAGTTTTTACAATATTTATCAAAGTCGTCGCCCCAGAAAAATGGGTATGACACACACATAACAATTTTGAAACAAAGAGGATATCGTGTATCCATCGGATTGTTCCAGTCAAACACATAATTAATTTCTTTATCTCGATAGTTTGTACAGTGAACAAATGCTGGACGTTCACTCACATCATAACAATTTCCATTTCCACAATTAAAATCGGTATATTGTTTACAAAGAACATCTTCACATATAAAAGATGAGTCTCTCCCACATTCAATGAGGCTTCTACTATAACTTTCATCCGATCCATCCAAACACTCTGGACTAAAATCGGTATGCCATGAAAGATTTTCATCTGACACGAAGTCTATATTCACACACATACCATTTCGACATTGATATTCGTTTTCTTCACATTGATTCAATTCAAGTTCAGCACAATATTTTTCATCTTCACCATCATCAAAACAGTTCACTTTTCCATCACATATTTCACGCCAATCAAGACACGTTAGAAATGAATGATTGCTACATTTCATATGTATATAACAGGTTACTGTTGTTTTATTATCGAAAAATTCACGCTCGTCAATTCTCATTTGAATAAAAGATGAAAATGATTGGTTTAAAACAAATCTATATTGACAAATTGATCCAAACCATGGTGGAGTACAATTGTAAAATACTTCAGCTGATGAAGATGTGTTTATTTGCAGAAAGTATTCGTAACGTTCGATAAGATCAATAGGACTTGACCATTGCATTAGATCTGTAGATGTTATATTATTCTTTTTTAATTCATCAAAAGTTAATTTAGATGATATTGATTTTTCATTAACATCGATTATTTCCTTCAAAGATGTTCGAATACAATATTCAACAATTTGTTCGACTATATACTCCACGTCATCTATATGATTTGTCTCAGTTATTGGTGAATGGAAACAATCATGATCAAAATCATTCGTCTTCGTATCTGTATTATAAAGATTGTAAAAAGGTCGCCATGTGTTTGAATTGGAAACCATGATGATATTACTGATGATAATGATGATATAAGATAATGATATAGTCATTTTGAACAAAATATATCTTAAATGATTAAGACATCACTTCGAGTGAGGGTATGAGTCAGAGATGTCCATTGCGGTTAAGAATCTGCCGCTGCCGCGATGGGATTTTCAAGGCTGTGACCGGTTAAAACTAGAGGAGCTCCTGTTAATTAGTAAGATTCGTCAACCCTTATCGTATAACATATATTAACGTCGAGATTTCGCATAAATTCTTGAGTTTTTGAAAATTCTTTCATAGAAAATTCTATCGCGCCACTATAGACATCTCTAGTATGAGTATGGATAAAGATGTGACAAATGAAAGGATTATTCATACTTCCCTACACTGCTCAATTTCAAATACACACAGTTTTTCAATCACAAAAATATTCTAGTGATGCATGTTACTTATGACAGACATAAAATATCCTAAAAACGGTGGGCCAAACTATCTCGTTCTTAGGCCTGTTAATATAATCCTAACTACAGAATGATGCACTATAGATCATTATCTTTTTAAGAATTTTCAACTTGTGGCGAGCCTTAATTATGAGAAAAATATTGACTCGAAAGTTCTCGGTCATTTGGAGCAACCATCTTGAGGGTGTGGGTGAAAATAGTGAGTGACAGTGAAAAGGATAGTACCCGCACTCACCACAACCCACACTCTCATCTGGAGGGTGGCTGTGGGTGTGGTAAGTGCAGGTACTATTGTTTTCGCTGTCACTCACTATTTGCACTCACACCCACTCCTCGAGCCTCCTTTGTTCCTTAGTCCCCCAGCCCCTTTAGTCCCCTTAGCTCCCTCACACTCTCGATTCCCTTAGTCCCTTGAGCTTTCTTGGACTCTTAGCCCCCCCCCCCCCCCAATCCCTTAAGCCCCCTTACTCTCTTGATCTCCCCCTAGTCCCTTGCGCCTCCTTAGTTTCCTTATTTCTCTAGTCTCCTACTCCCTTTAGTTCCCGTAATTCTCTAGTCTTCTTAATCTATATGACCTATAGTATCCCCTCGCATTTCAGTATGAAATCAACTCCATTTTTTTCTAATTTTAGTTTAAAATTAAATAGGCCGTTGTATGCAATAAATACGAAAAATGTCCTATAAAAAAATAGATAATATATACGAACTCACTACGTCGTACATTCATATCTACTATGGTAAAGATTTGAATCGAATTCAATACATAAACAAGTTAGATAATAACAAAACTACAGATAATAAATGGATGAGACTTACCTGACACTGTTGTTAGATAGAAGAAAAATAAAAGTGAAATGCGGGTAGAAAGACATTATGATTATCTCTCAAATACTTTTGAATTACATAATTACCACTCTTTTCTCTAAAACGTTTTTTAAACGAAAACTCAAAGATGTAACATAATAAATAATATAGTATACAAAAATACAACATGAGCTTAAACAGTGTGGAACACTTCGGGTGATTCCCTCCTTAGAAAAATACAGAGTATTTCAAGTTAAGGTAAAATATTTAGAAATGTTGACGCTAAAACTACTCATGTATTTCTGCTCTCGTCTGGCGTCCAACGTTTCTCTATCGTCAAAATGTAACTGTAAATATCTATGAGCATACAAGATATAGTCATTTTCGAGAGTAAAAAAAATCTGAGGCCAGAAAATTATAATCTAAATAGAGATTAAAAGGCGGATATGGTGGAAAAAAGGGAGAACGACGTTTGAGAATAAAGCAACGGCGAAAAAGCCAACAAAATGAGCGACAGATGGAAAAAATGACGCATTACCATATTTAACTTTGCATGAAACTCGTCAAAATCGACTTTTCCATACTTTACTGAAGGAAAATATTTTAAGAGAAGCCGCGGTGAAGTTGGCTCTATGAAAACGCGATTTTCGATGGTTCTTTTCAATTACAGAAGTCAGACTGTTTATTCGGTTTTCTAAACGCAGTATTGAAAAACCGAATAAGCGATATGGCTCCCGTGATTGACAACCATCACATTTTCATGGAATCAACTTCAATACGGTTTCTCTCAAAACATTTTTCCTTTGGTAAAGTATGATATACTCGACTTTCACGAGTTTGATAAAATTTAAATATATTAATGCGTCGTTTTGTTGGTATTTCCGTCACTGTTTTATTCTCAAACGTAGTTCTCTCTTTTTATGCGCCATATCTACCTCTTAATCTCTATTTAGATTGTAATTTTTTAGCCTGAGATTTTTTTTCCGTCAGAAATGACTGCATCTTATATGCTCATAGATATTCACGGTTACATTTTGACGACAGAGAAACATCCAATGGAAAAAAAAGAATAGAAATACATCACTATTTTTGCCTTAACTTAAAACACCCTATATTTTCTACGGAGAGAACCGTCCGATATGTTTCACGCTACTTGTGCTCGTATTGTATTCACAAGAAGGCGTTGATTAGACTGGTAAAAGACTTTGCTCTCATCGGACTTTGAAAGTGAATTATAGAAGGTTACTGAATTGTTGAGTGGTTTTAAAATGTTTACCTAAACATCAAATAATGGAATTTTATCTATCGACAAGTCTAATCACCTCAAATGAATGCTCCTATCTCGAGATATTAAATTTTCAAGTTAATTCGAAGTATGTGACATGTCTATGACAAGCGAGTATTTTTTAGCTATTCTAATGATCATTAGGCCTATGTGTGCACACAATTTCAGATTAAAATGCTATTATTTGATATTTAGATAAATACTTAAGAACAATTCGAAAATACAGTAAACTGGTTATAACTCACCTTCAGAGTCTCATCAACACGAATTCTTGTAGACTATTATTAGTCTGATCGAGACCGTCTTATAACTACAATACGAGCTTAAGCACCGTCGAACACTTCGAGTGGTTCTTTCCTTAGGAAAATACGGGATTTTTCAGCATAAAACTTTACTAATGCAAGTTAAGTCAACAATGTTTAGAGATGTTGACGACAAAACTACTCATGTATTTCTATTCTGTTTTTCTATTGGATGTTTCTCTATCGATAAAATGTAACTGTGAATATCTATGAACATACAAGATGTAGTCATTTCTGACGGAAAAAAATCTCAGGCTAAAAATTTATAATCTAAATAGAGATTAAGAGACAGATATGGCGCATAAAAGAGAGAACTACGTTTGAGAATAAAGCAACGACGGAAACACCAACAAAACGACTGGTAGATGGAAAAAAACGACGCATTAATATATTTAATTTTTATCAAACTCATCAAAATCGACTTTTTCATACTTTAAACCTCGCTTCATCTTCATTATATATATTGCACATTGGTTATCAATAAATATAGCAGATAAAATATGAATGGATATTTTATTCATATATATACTCACCTTATAATTCTCAAGAAAAGTTATTTTTCGTGAAAACAAAGGTAGAAATTGTAATTAATGCATGAAAGATACTCTAAATTGTGCCATTTTGAAAAGACTGTAGTTCTTGAGAGTGTGGGTGTCGGTGTGAATGTGAGTGAGAGATTGATGTACCACCCACACCCACTCTTCAGTTCCTAACAATTTTTAGAGATAATTTGATATATTCTAATATTCAGTTAGACATAGAAAGCATATAGTTTATTAGGAATATCACTCTTGATATACACAACATCAAATATTTAATATTAAAAACAATAAAACTTTAGTGAATTCAATCATATGAGAATAAAATAATTTCTCACAAAAGTTCAAAATATATTATGAACCTAAGAAGAAAAAATATTTGTCTATGAAATTGTTACAAACTAGTTGATTGTTTTGCTCGTCACCCAAATAAAATCAAATAAGCAATGCAGACATAGTATTGTTAGTTGAATAAATAAAATTATTATAGAATTTGTATCAGGTTCAGTTCATTGACGAGACAATAAGCAAATGAATTATGAAGACATTGAAAGCATTAGAAAGAAATTAATAATAGAATAAAATGAAAAATTAATTGTTTATAAAAATCATAATGAAGCAAAATAATAATAATATTAATAATTTTGAATCCAAATTACGAGTTGCAAATGAATGATTTGTTGATAGAGAGCTTGTAGCGCTTGTTGATGATAATTTTGTTGTTGTATTAGTTAAACTACTCTTTTGTGATGTTGTGACTATTGCTGATGTTGAAACCGTTGTTGACGGTGTGACTACTACTGGCGTTGAAACTAAATTTGCGATTGATGTTGAAGCTGATAGTATAGTTGTTGGGTTATCTAATAGTGAAAAAAGATAGAATATAATATTTATTTAAAAAATAGTTCATATATTAGAGAGAGCAAATAACAATATGTTGTGTTTAATAGGTATTTCATAATTGATATTTTGGAATAAATCCTCTTAATAATTTTTATTAAAATATAATAAATGTGTTCAATTATCGATCTCGTGTAACAGTATTCTAAGATTGGGAAATAAAATTTTCGTAATAAAAATTTTTCATAGACTTCTATCTTATCTAAAAGATTCTAAATCGAATTTTTATTTGAGCTGATAATCTAATTCTTATGTTTTCTTATACTATATGTTTCTATACAAAATGCAGGAATTTGTAGTCATCTTGAGGGTGTGTGATGAGGACAGTTATATTTTTCAGCAGTCACACTCACACCCATCCCTCAGCATTTATAAACTGTATTTCTGTATCTAGAATAAGCGAATCGTACAGCTTACTTAAATTTAATCTAGTAAAAAATAATTTGGAACTCAAAGGGTTAAATAGTTTTGTTCAAAAGATAACACTTACGTCAATCTTGTTTATCTTATATAAAATTCAATTTTAATATTCATTATTCCAAATATCCTACTAACATATTTATCTTTACAGTTCCTGTACGTTTGACAGATATCAACGCTATATCCATCATTCTATCTAATAGATTATATTCATATCATAAAAATAAGAGTATTCATAATTTTTAAATGACATGTAACATTATAACATAATCATCTTATAGAAGGTATGTGTATACACTAATTGTAATTTATAATATATTTTCTGATCATAGAATCGTATTATTCTTAATTAGATATCTCAAATTATAAGCAAAACATTAACTGAATATTATATACTAGAATTACTTTTATAACTTTTCAAATGAGTATATATCATAAAAATATGCATTACTCCATTATATTATTTTCTATTTATTTCTCATTGTTAAAGTGCGTTATTATAAACACTTAGTTGCATCCTATTACTATAGTTTTACATATTAAAATAATTTTGTTTTCCTAAGCTATTTGATAATTACTTTCTAATTAAAATAAATATTACGAAA